AAAATTTAAAAAAATGCATACTATTAAAATATAAAATAAGCAAATTATTAAAATAAATGATCAAATTTCTATCTTAGTAGAATCACTTTTATCTTAGTATTATAAAGAATCACCAAATTAATTATATTTACAAAAAAAAAATATATTAACTTTTGAAAATAAACTACTTTTTTTTAAAAAAAATTAGTGAAATTTTGAAATACTCTAACTTTGGTCATTCACGGATAAACAGCAACGAAGCAGCAATATTATGAAGTGCTGCAAATGTAAAATTTACCTATAAATTTACCAGTAATTATTAACACTTTTAAAGGGATACTCGCCATTGTATTTTTTTTTGAATAAAAAATTTGTTCCTAATTTCAAAATTAGCTTTTCGGTTCTTTAAGTTCTAAAAAATCTCAATCTTGTGACATTAAACAACATTTAAATATTAGTTTTCATTATTTGTTACGTTAAGTTTGTGATACGTTATTAGTATCTATATAGCGACCGAACTTATGAGATGGTATTGAAAGTTCGGTCAAAGTAGCTGTCTTCATTTTAAATTAAATATTGACTATTATTTTTTGATTTTCATTTTTTTATTTTTACAATATCAAATATCAATATAATTTTCTGCATGTTTCAAGAATAAAAATTATTTATTTATGCGTGATAAATAAATATTCAAAATTTAAATGCCCGAACTTAGGCGGTTTCACGATAATCATAAAAACATTTAATTTAATTTAAATAAAATTTAATTTTGACGACAATAAAAACCGGTTCGCATAATTTAAAAATTTTTTTATAAACGATCGATTTCTAAATGTAAACTTTGGTGTATAACGTTTTTAAAAAATGGCGAATATTAGCGTTTTTTAGTGTAAATTTTTCTACTTCAACATTAAATTGGGGGTTGTCCATTAATTACGTCAACAAAATAGGGGGAGGGGGTCTGAACTTTTTTTGACAGTTGTTGAAACGGGGGAGGGGTGGTCAATTAAAGTTGACGTCAACAATTTTTTTTTTGAATTTTATTGTTTAAATAACGGAAAATTAGGCTGAGTTTGTAGCGTAGTTTTTTTGTATGGGGGGGGGTAATCAAAAGTTGACGTAATTTTATAGGGGTCGTCTCTGGAAATTTGACAAAGTGTTGACAAGGGGGAAGGGGAAGGTAAAAATTTCAAAAAATTTGTTGACGTAATTAATGGACAGCCCCATAGACTCTAATTTGATGTTGAAGTTGAAAAGTTTTCTAATTATTAGAGAACTTTTCTTTGGTTTTCAGACCTATATTTTTGTATGAATTTTGATCAGCATAAAATTCTCTATCATAATCAGTAATAAAAATAGGGGGCAAAGATGTTAATTATCGCCTAAAACAATAAAGAAAAAACAGACATCAATAACAACAAAATAAATATTAAAAATGTCAATTCGAAAGCAGGAAAACTGATGATAGATACTAATTTCCGGTTATTAATTATTAAAAAAAATATATATCTATATATATATATATATATATATATATATATATATATATATATATATATATATATCTATTATATATAAAAAAAACTTCTGCAGCGTCGATTTGTCTCGATAAATAAAAGTCATTAGAACGTTAAAGTTCGAAATAATTTTTTTTTTTTAAATTTAAGCCTAAAATAAAGCGTGCACTGGTCGTCAGTGTATGAATTCGCTTTTTAGCTACACAGACAATAAAGTTATCTATCTCTTGAATATTGTGATAATAACAATAAAAAAAGCGTTTTTAGGCCGGCTAGATAAAATAAAAAGTGCTTTGTTTTATTTTTAAATTATTGAGCTGTTACTAAGTGTCTTATTTAAAGTTTTTTATTTCTTATATTTTAAATTCTAATTTCTCTATAAACTTTATTAAAAAACCATCTAAAGAAAATCCAGTTGGCATTTATTTTATTTGTAATTGAGACCGTGTGACCATATCTTTTTGACTATAATCATAATCGTATTAGCAATCAACATTTTTGCTTTTTTGAATTCATTTTTAAGTAATAATGAAGACAAGATTGAGAAGTTGTTGAATATTCTGATTTTACTTATGGAAAGTTTCAAATTATTTTTGTCTTTTATTAAATAACTACATTTTAACAACGCATAGCTCTTGGATATCGGATATAAAAGACTGTTCAAATAAAAGGGTAATTCAGTTGTACAAGAATAAAATCTGCAGTTGGTTTACTCTTAAGAAGACAAATGAATAAGCTTAGTTTATTTTGTTTGATGCAGTTTGAAATTTTCTGGATATTAAATAGAGAACTCGTATAGTTCTAAAGTGATTTCAGCGCGCTCCTTCCAATTCTATCTATTTAAACTTTTTCGTTAATACGTCACTATTTTTACATAGCTCCATACCGTAAGTCAAGGAAGACACTGCCAACAATTTATATATATATATATATATATATATATATATATATATATATTATATATATATATATATATATATATATATATATATATATATATATATATTATATATATATATATATATATGTATATATATATATATATATATATATATATATATATATATATATATATATATATATATATATATATATATATATATATATATATATATAAGAAATAGAACTCGGGTGGCAAACCGGATGCTAGACTGAATAAGAGTTTGTGCAACGGTCCAAAAGTTTGAGGTTTTCCATCCCCATTTGAACAACTGAAAAATTGAATGTTTGGTATATCATGTGAGCCCCAGGTGTTTAAGTTTATTCTGTAATTTTTTACAAAATCGTTTTTTACAAAATTACGGCTGATTTTAAGTACGTTGATGTAACCTTTCTAACTCCTAATAGTAACATCCATTAAAATCTATTTTGGTATAGTGCAATTCAATAAATTAGGTCCAAATTATAAAATTATAATTAAAATATCTAATGTTTTGAAAATAACAAAAAATTCACTTTTAGCAACTTTTTTCGCATTTCCAAGCGTTATAAAGCATTGCATTTATTAAGGCTAATTTAATATTTTAAAGCATCGTATCGAGTTAAAAATTTAAAAGTATAGGAAACTTGCTTTCATCAATTTAGATTGAAATTGTGGTTGCAAAATCTTTAATTGGGATGTATTGCAACGGAAAGCGATTATTTTTATTCATTAGACGTAGTACGCAAAAGTCTTTATTAATTAAGATATTACTATATCATTTGCTTGAAACAAAAAAAAAAAAAATTTCTGCAAAAGTTTAGGCATATCCTATGTATTGTTACATAATCTTAGTTTACGTTTATTTTTATTCTATTTTTTTTTTTTTAATTCTTTTTTTTACTTTTATTCTTGATTAACGTTTGTTAAAGAAAAAAACAGCATTTTAAAACACTATTCGGCTTTTAATTGTAACTGTAATATGAAGCAAAACTAATTATTCCTTTTAATTACTAAACATGCTTATTTTTTTAAAGTTTATTAACCTAATTAAAATCAAAAACTAATTTTTATCATACTAGTCTAATTTTTTAAAATAAAAAAACATTTGTTGAGCAATATTTTTGCATAGAAACAAAAAATAAAATAAAGGCGATGACAATACTAACGTATAAAATACTACGTGTTTCAATGAAATACGATTAACTCACATTAGTGTTGCCGCTGAAATTTTCAGTGTTAGCTAATCTCGTAATATTTGTAAATCCGAAGATTTGATTTAAGTAAGACTTATACCCCGTTCATACTGACGATAAAACACGTTTTATTTTAAAATATAATATGTATTAAATTGTTATTGTAAAAATTTGTACAAAACAACAATGAAACAATACTGGCAAACAACTGCCAGGTTGCTTTGTCAACCTCGCTATGCTGTTTTATTGTACAGTTTATAACATTAAAAACACAAAAAGAGTTTAAAATAAAACGTGTTTATCACCACTGTTAACGGGGTATCCGAACTTCATCTTTTATCTGCTTCACTGCTGTGTTTCTGAAAATTAATCTGAAAGTTTTAATATTAAATTGTTTTAAACTTAAATATTAAATTGTTTTAAACTTAATCTGAAAGCTTTAATATTTATTTAAAACCTCAAAACTTTTAGCAGCAAGTTACAACAATTGAAAATTTAAAGAGAAGCTTCATGCCTAAAATTTCCGGTTTAAATGCATGACCTTAATCAGGAATAACTCAAAAAAAGAGATTTTGGATTTAGGAATAAGAAAGCATCAGAACATGTTCTTGAATAAATTCATTTTAAAAAGAGTGACTTGTAAATATAAATAACAGAATATTTAGTTTTTAAATAAATTTTTGATACGTTATAGTTTTAAAATTCCCCTTACTTAGTTAGAAATTTTTTTTTAATGACAATTCCATGGCTTTGTGATTAAGTTTAGGTTTTTTCAGGCGCGTACCCAGCATTTTTTGATGTTTCAGATAGGACACTTCCTCACATTGTGCAAACTCCAAACTTAAGTATGCTCATACCTATGCCAAATGAGGAAGTCTTTCAAAAATTTGGGAAGGCGGAGATCTGTAAATAAAAAAGCCCTAAAACGTTTTCATCCCTCTGCCCAAACGTGAGGGCACTGCTGTAGTAAAATTTTCAACTTTACTATATTAAACTAAACCTAAATTTATCGACAGGTTTTAAATTTCATAGAAAAATATTGTAAACTACAAAAGTTATGACCATATAAAATTTCCAACCCCCTTAAAATGAGAGGGGTGTAAATTTTGCATA